GGGCCTTAGCTGGTCCATCCAGACTTCAAGTATCTTCAGCGAAGGAATTTAGGAATTTGGCTAACATTGGGGGCAGTTGGTGAGATCTTTTCATTACACTATATTATATAAACCATTAATTATATCACATATTATTGTTACATTCACCCTTACATAACTCGGAGCGTTTGGTACGGTATGTCCACACATCCTTCCACCCATGTAGATTGATCTCATATAATAATCTTTGCGGCACATGCAACGCAGCAGGCCTGGCCGTTTTGATGTTTGTGTCTTATCAAAGATATAATGCAAACATCAATGTTGACAAGAAAAATTATTAGGCGTTATCTAACCTAATCATTTTCCAGGATGCTTTCTCGTACTGGCTGCGTTTGTATTGGATTAGATTAGATTAGAACCAGGCTTCGAAGTTAACTCCACCGTCCGCAGCGTAGCAAAATTCTGTGATTCTGCTTGACAACGACTCGATCAGGAACTCACTTTGGTTCTGGCGGTGTGGTTCAACCGGATGCTGTTGGCTTGGCTGCAGATCACCGTCCCCACTTCCGTCGTTTTGAACTGCTTGAGGTGCTTGTTCCACTGCGTTCTGGAAAACTGTAAGTGCTTCGAGAAAACGGCCTTGGTTCTCCAGGACCCGTAAAAGATTGGCTTCGAATTCCGGAGACATCTCTTCTTGCGTAGCTTCTTAAAAATTCTCGTCGCCAATATTTCTCGATTACTTTTTCGAAGGGACGTATCAGCTTTTGTAAACAATGCATTTGATCGTCAGTTTAGAAAATTTCCCCTATCTCATGGCGGTGTTGGGCGAGCTACCAGTTACGACAGGTCGACGATTAGGCTACAAAATGGTGAGTTGATAACCTGGAAGGAGCGGAATACCTAGCCCTGGTCCTCACAAGTTCCTACTTCACGCCTCCTCGAGTCATATGATAACAAAAGACTACCAGCTGAAACATGGACACAGCTGGGTGGCGTAGCCTGGGCAATGTTGCCAGTCCGGTGTGAAGTGAAGAGGTGCGACGCGAACACTGGCGTGGTAACCATGGTGATAGAGGAAATGCTTCACCAAACCTGAGCGTCTATTCACCATGGAGGTGCGGCTCAAAACGGCGTCTGTTCTCCATGTTAGGAGCGGCTGATCACCGTCCTAGTGCCAGCGTGGGACTCTAAACAGAGCTGTGTACGATGGTCCCCCGGCGAGATAGGGGGTTGGGGCAGGCCCAACAAGCCACCCTGAAAAAAAAACAAAGTTGCAAATACCGAAGAAAGAAATACGGATCGGAACAATCGGCACAGACCTACGCAACGAAATAAGGACTACGATTGGAAACTCGGAACATGGAACTGAAAATCGCTCGGCTTCCCGGGTTGCGATAGGTTAATCTATGACGAACTTCAACCACGCAACTTCGAAGTCGTAGCACTGCAGGAACTTTGCTGGACGGGACAAAAGGTATGGAAAAGCGGACATCGACCGGCTGCTTTCTACCAGAGCTGTGGCACCACCAACGAGCTGGAAACCGGCTTTGTAGTGCTGGGTAAGATGCACCAACGCGTGATTGGTTGGCATCCGATCAACGCGAGGATGTGCAAGTTGAGGATTAAGGGCCGTTTCTTCAACTACAGTATCATCAACGTGCACTGCCCACACGAAGGGAGACCCGACGACGAGAAAGAAGCGTTCTATGCGCAGCTGGAGCAGGTGTACGACGGCTGTTCGAAACGGGACGTCAAAATCGTCATCGGCGACATGAATGCTCAGGTAGGACGGGAGGCAATGTATAGACCGGGTATTGGGCCAAACAGCCTGCATGTCGTATCGAATGACAACGGCCAACGATGCGTGAACTTTGCAGCCTCTCGGGGTATGGTAGTTCGAAGTACCTTTTTTCCCCGCAAGGATATCTACAAAGCCACCTGGAGATCACCTGACCAACACACAGAAAACCAAATCGATGCATCGACGAAATCGACGGGAAATTCTTCTCCGACATTATCAACGTCCGCACGTACCGCAGTGCGAACATAGATTCGGACCACTACCTAGTTGCAGTATGCATGCGCTCAAAACTCTCGACGGTGCATAACACACGTCGAAGTCGAACGCTGCGACCCAACATTGAGCAACTACGGCTGGGGGGACATCCGCTCCGCCATAGGTAGTACTGCTGCAGCGGCACTAGGTACTGCAATCCCGGACCGAAGAAATGACTGGTTTGACGGCGAATGCAAACTGTTAGTAGAGGAGAAGAATGCAGCACGGGCGAGAATGCTGCAACACCGCACGAGATTGAATGTGGAGCGATACAGACAAGCGCGGAACAGACAAAACTCGGTTTTCCGAAGGAAGAAGCGTCAGCAGGAAGACCGAGATCGCGAGGCGATGGAAAATCTGTACCGCGTAAACGACACACGGAAGTTCTACGAGAAGCTAAATAGTTCGCGCAAAGGCTACGTGCCGCAAGCCGATATGTGCAAGGACTTGGACGGTAACCTTCTCACGAACGAGTGTGAGGTGATTGAGAGGTGGAATCAGTACTATGACGAGCACCTCAACGGTGAAGCAGCAGAAAACGAAAGTGGCACGGCAACAGACCTTGGAGCACGCGCAGAAGACGACAGGCTACCGGCCCCTGATCTTCAAGAAGTTGAGGAGGAGATCGGTCGGCTGAAGAACAACAAAGCAACTGGTGTAGATCAACTACCAAGTGAACTATTAAAATACGGTGGTGAAGCACTGGCTAGAGCGCTGCACTGGATAATTGCCAAGATTTGGGATGAGGAGATATTACCGGAGGAGTGGATGGAAGGTGTCGTATGCCCAATCTACAAAAAGGGCGACAAGTTGGATTGCTGCAACTACCGCGCGATCACACTGCTGAGCGCCGCCAACAAGGTACTCTACCAAATTCTATGCCGCCGTCTGTCACCATATGCAAGAGAGTTCGTGGGGCAATACCAGGTGGGATTCATGGGTGCCCGCGCTACCACGGACCAAATTTTCGCGATCCGGCAGGTTCTGCAGAAATGCCGCGAATACAACGTGCCCACACATCATTTGTTCATCGATTTCAAATCCGCATACGACACAATCGATCGAGATCAGCTATGGCAGATTATGCACGAGTACGGATTTCCGGATAAACTGACGCGATTGGTCAAAGCGACGATGGATCGAGTGATGTGCGTTGTTCGAGTATCGGGGACACTCTCGAGTCCCTTTGAATCTCGAAAGGGGTTACGGCAGGGTGATGGACTTTCGTGTCTGCTGTTCAACATCGCGTTAGAAGGTGTGATCAGAAGAGCTGGGATAGACACGAGTGGCACGATATTCAGGAAGTCCATCCAGCTCCTTGGTTTCACCGATGACATTGACTTATGGCACGGAACTTTGAGATGATGGCGGAAACGTACATCAGACTGAAGGCTGAAGCTAGACGGATTGGACTTGCCATCAACGCATCAAAGACAAAATACATGAAAGCAAGAGGTTCTAGGGAAGACAATGTTAGCCTCCCACCCCGAGTTCAGATTGACGGTGACGAAATCGAGGTGGTCGATGAGTTCGTGTATTTGGGCTCACTGGTGACCGCCGAAAATGATACCAGCAGAGACATTCAAAGACGCATAAAATAATAATAAACGAATAAAATTCGCCGCCGCACGAAGTTGACTGTCTACAAGACGCTGATTAGACCGGTGGTCCTTTATGGCCACGAGACCTGGACTATGCTCGTGGAGGACCAACGCGCCCTTGGTGTTTTCGAACGGAAGGTGTTGCGTACCATCTACGGTGGAGTGCAGATGGATGACGGAACGTGGAGGAGGCGAATGAACCACGAATTGCACCAGCTGCTGGGAGAACCATCCATCGTCCACATTGCAAAAATTGGGCGACTACGGTGGGCTGGGCACGTCGTGAGAATGCCGCACGACGACCCAGTGAAAATGGTTCTAGAAAGCGACCCAACAGGAACAAGAAGAAGAGGCGCGCAGCGGGCAAGGTGGATCGACCAAGTAGAAGGTGACCTGCGGACCCTTCGCATACTACGAGGCTGGCGAACTGTGGCCATGGATCAAGTAGAGTGGAGACGACTTCTTTGGACAGCAGAGGGCAACAAGGCCTTAGCCTGATTTGTAAGGTAAGCAGGTCGACGATTAAATGCATTGTATACGTCCCTTCGAAAAAGTAATCGATATATACAGAGCCAACATTTCAAAGGGGCGTAATTGCTTTTGTAAACATTGGCTTTAGACGTCGATTTCTCGCAAATGAAAACCCACCCCTTCAATTTACAAATGCTAGCTGATACAGGAAACATTCCTCTGCGTGCTGGTGTCATTCATTTTCATGAGTGAGATTTCATTCGCGAGAAATCGACGACTAAAGCCATTGTTTACAAATGCAATTACACCCCTTTGAAATGTTGGCACTGATTTGTTGCGTATGCAATTAAATCACGAATTAAATAAATATTCAACCGGTTGTTTTGGTGGTTAGTATAGGAATGATTTATAAACTCTGACAGTGAAAAATTACAACTTTGTCATGACTTGCTAACGTAGAAATTAACGAGGACTAAAATTTAAAATTTGATCATCTTGTGAAATATTTCCAAATCTATTAAAATTATGATACGTACCTAATTACAGCTTAACCAGTGAACGCTCAACCAAATACCATGGCAACGGAAACACGAACCAAAGTGCAACCTGATGAACAAAAATGCACAACACCACAATCCGAATGAACTCACACACTTCGACTATGACGGACCACTACATACAAGGCATCCAATACAACAAGAGTACGTTGTGCTTGGAGAAAACCATACACGACGACGACCGCGAATAGCGGTAGTGCTAGTAGTGATAGTATTTTAACTACTTATCCGAAACCGGTCGCGACCACCGTTCGGTTCCACGGAAGCGCTGATGTTATGAATGATTCAGTTGCCTTTTTCCATTCGGTGTAGGAGCCACGGCAGTCAGTCAGTACACCACCAGGTAGTAGGCACTCTCGTTTCCGCGATTCTCCCGGAGTTTCCTCAGATCATCATAGTAGGCACATTGAGGCAGAATAGAGCGCGGAGCCGTTTTCGGTTCCAATTCAGTTCCAGATTCGCTCTCCCGTGACGTCGTCGTTCGTCACCGTCGCATACTTCGTCGCGCGCGCGTTTGAATATTGCTCTCATACGCCTCAGTTGCCTCGCGCGCGTCGTCGTCGTCGATCCCATGTGGAGTAGCTTAACTGTGGTATACCTCAGTAAATATAAAAAAAACCGTGTCGTGTGTTTTGTAATTTGCATATTTTGCTCAATCGAGGAGGAATCCGTTCCCGTTGCCTCCCCTCCGATACCCCGCGTATGTGTGCTTGATGTGTGACGAAAGGGGCAGCTTGCTATAGTTACGAGTTGAGGTAAACAAGTTAGGTTCCTTTATTTTAGACGCGAAGAACGAAGAAATGGATGGAGCACCTTCCAGACAACTAGGTTCTTTCATTTGATGAGAAAAAAAAATCTGCAGTGTATTTATTTTTTGGCGAGCGAATCTCAAACAGAGCGACCACCAATTAGTGTCTCCCATCATTTCGTTTGACAAGATTGTACCGAAATGTAAATTTTATGAGTGAATGACCAGTAAAACGACCCCGCAAAGAGTAGCGGGAAATTGTGCTAAAGAAGTGCGACGAAAACAACGACGAAAATGAGCAGCATTGTAACAGCAGTAGCCTGTATGGCACCACGGTGGCTGATGTGATGATACTTGTGCGTGCGTGACCGCAACCAACAAGAAATATCGCGAAAGCAAAGTTGGTTATGATGATAATGGAATGTGTTGTGTTTACGAAAAAAAAACGCGAAATTTCTCGCTACTAGCGCAACGGTTCTAATTTTGGGTTTTCAAAATTCGATTAGTGTGTATCAGGAGTCACGCAAGGTGGGTCTTCGTGAAGGGCAAGTCAATAACTGAATACCGCATTCTAGTTTAGAGCGGCGTGCGAATGCAATCAGCAGAGTTTTTGCATCCAATCAACCAACATCAACACGAATCGAGTCTGTTGCAGTCACATGAATGACAGGAAATAGATCTCTCCACGGTTCGCGAACGAGCATCGTCAGTTTGTGGGAAGAAGCGCAAATTCCGCACCCACATATATAAAGTAAGTATCTATAATTATTTGCCATCCAATTTAGTTAGAGATGCACAATACCTCACACACCCTCCCACCGAAGCGAGGAAAATAACTAGGTTACTAGATCGAAAGGAAGAAGATTGCAGAAACGTTCGGCAACAGCATGCCACGTGAACTGACGACGATAATTAATCGTTCTATTCGAAACTATCGTCTCTGGCTTGTACCTTTTACACAAAGGCGCCCATCCAGCGAGCTCCCTAAATTAACCAACTCCCTCACTCCCGTAGTTCCCGCAGTCCCTAGTGGCCCTATTTTCGGTCCGGTTTCTTTGTGAACTTGGGCTCGAGACCCACCTTGCCCTGCCCTGCCTTGCCTGTCATCGTCGTTTTCGTGACGGCTGTGATGTGTGCCCGTCCATCAGCACACAGTAGACACGCTTTTGCTTTTGCTTTTGTAACCTATGCTTTAAGGTAAATGATGGGCAAACTTTCGCTGGTCGAAGCAGTCGTGAACTAGTATTTTAGTGAGAGTAGTTCTCTGTTTTCCTGCCCGCGCCCGGTTTGCTGCAATTATTGCAACTGTGGCGGAAGGTCAGATCGGTTTTGTAGAGGGCTGTAATTTTCTGTAAACTTCGTTGGTTGCAGCCGGTATTTGTGTCGCCATTTATAACGGAAATTGCTTTATTTATTTCAGCTTAAGTTGGTTCGTCCAATAGTTGCTTTTGTGCTCGTCCGGGAGGATTGAGAATTTCTTTCAGAGACTTGATAGAGTTCTTACAGTTGATGCACCGATTGATTTAGGTTTCCTTTTCAAGAAATGCACGTACAGACTAACGTATGAAAAAATCGCTCGTAATTGACATAAAGTCCACACAGATCCGATCCGAATGTATCAGGTTGAAAGCGTGGTTCGTCTTTTTCATTAATTACAATTCACGGTTGTCAGGTTCATCTTCTCCAATTAAACGACTGCTTCTCGATTTCTGTGGCCGGAATTCCTATGCCACGCGTGCTGAAAATCCGCCAAGTGACTTACGTGTTTCGTGACCGGTTCGCAGGTTGTCTAAAATTATGGTTGCCCTTGGTTGTTCATTTGATATTTTTTCGAAGTTTAACCAGGGTGTCCATTCCAATCCAATTTTTCAATTATCGGTTTTTTCTCGGTTATTTAAAAAAAAACAACCCAAAAATCACCGCTGCCTTAAACTAAATAGGCTATCAAAAATAACAGTTTATAGATAATAATATATTTTTTTCAGTGGAATCGCTCCAAAGTTGCTATTTTGTAAAAAAATATATGAGATGAGATTTGCATTGATATGTTGATGATCTAGATCACTACATCTCATGGAATCATTAATTCGTATAAAATCAAAGAAAAGAGTCTCCTGCAAAAAATGAGCCCTAATGTGGTTTTAGTATGTCGAAAAAAGCATATATCAATACAAGAGACCTGAGCAGGGAAACGCAGTATTAAAAGTTCATAAAATCTTCCTGGAGTGTATATCTCGAACAACATTTTGTGCGATACAAAGATGTTTTACCAATATATGTATCATTCTCCAAATTATATTGGAGATATTTTACAGGCTAAGCATTTTGAGCACTTTGAGCGTTTTGAGTTCATAACATCAATTTAAAATTATCAATTTTGTAAAAAAAAACATTGTTGGATTAACCAAATCTTCCCGATATCTGTTCTTGAAGTTCTGCAGACTCAACAAAGTATACGATGATTCGATTTAATAATAGAATGGGCAATATAATATCATTGGTTTTCTAAAATGCCTGGAGTTCAGATCTTTTTTTATATTATAGTCACTTTAACATTCTTGGATCATTCGTGACTTATCCCGGTTAGATTTTAACTCAGGATAATGATGATTTCCCCTAGGTTTGAGCTGGACGCTAATTAAGTACTTCGACCTTGGCGTGAGAGGTATGGATTAAGATCTTTATGTTTTACTGACTAACCAAGATATTCTGCGATGTCCTGGCTAATCTTGTGTACTTGGTTAGGACAAAATGCAGACATTGTTTTTAATTTATCTCTGAACCGATCATTTCATGATTTTATAATTTTGTTGATTGTGTTCTGTGTCGAACATTTGCATGCCAAGCATGATCGGAAGTTTTAGATCAGGCATTCTTTTGTTGGCATGAATCTACTTCTCTATCTTCAAGTAGCTTCTGCGATGTCCTGGCTAATCTTGTGTACTTGGTTAGGACAAAATGCAGACATTGTTTTTAATTTATCTCTGAACCGATCATTTCATGATTTTATAATTTTGTTGATTGTGTTCTGTGTCGAACATTTGCATGCCAAGCATGATCGGAAGTTTTAGATCAGGCATTCTTTTGTTGGCATGAATCTACTTCTCTATCTTCAAGTAGCTTCGTGATAAGATATGTCTTCCTCAGGCTTTAGAACTACTTCACTCTGAAAATTGTAGCAACCAATTTTTCATTCAAACATTTTTCTTTCAATGAAACCAATATAAATTATAAATATAAATTCCCGGTTTTCCCCGGTTCTTTCCCGGTTTTCCCGGTTGGATGGACACCCTGTTTAACAAATTTTGTATGATTGTTCTTCAAGCATAGGAATATAAGCCATCCCTTGAAGCTTCTGTAAGATTGTAGGAAGAATTGTGTTCTGGTAAAAATAATATAATTTTATTCGTGTTTCGTTACGGTTTCCATCCTGCCCCACTTTCCCCTAGGTTCTAGAGGGGGCTCAAGAGACAGAGGCAGTTAATCAGACCCCATTAGTAACCTTAATTTAAACAATGCTGCAACTCACACACAACAAACTACAGAACTCTATTCATCATCCTCTATAGTCGATCTCCAACTATGTTCCAGACAGGTTCCAACTCTATCCGGCCGCTGATAGACTTTTGCTTTTCACACCACGCAAGGCTAGGTTTCTGGTCTCCCGCATAAACAATAACCATAAGAAGTGCCTAACCACCAATTCGGGATATCATCCCAAATTTATGTGGTATGGTTGTAACATCTATGATATCGTTAGTGTATGGTACCCGTTTATTAGGGCTGCCTTTGAGGAATATATAAAACCCTAAAACACATGACTTTTATTATACTATGAACACAAAACACCCGCCACTTCCCGCGTCACCCTCAATCCGATTTATCCTTGGGATTTCAAACCAAAAAAATCAAGGTGTCAGAAATTCCGGGTTGCCGGGATGGGTACAAACAATCGCAGCTTGTTCTATGCACGGTTAGAAAAAAGTACCCAAAATTAAGTTCTTTTCACTCATCTCGGCACTATAGTACAGGAACTCAAAAGTAGGTAAAGCGGGTCAAAGTAATTTTCATTTACTTGTGTGCAGTTCGTATGGAATTTTCCACTGGCTTTTTAACCAAAAGTAAGTTAGTTATACCCAACTGTAGGTAAATATGATTATACGTTGGGTTCACACACTTTATAACCCCTGTTGGGTGGTTCTGCTCCTCCGTTTTTGACAACATTAGAGCAACCGTAACGGTCGTTGTCATTTGCGCGACTATTTTAACAGCGCACAGCGCTCTCATTTTAGTTTAGTCACTCTTCTCCACACCGGTCGCTGCTATCGCGGTTATCAATTTACTCGCCTTTGTCCGTACCGGTAGTGAGCATTTTGACATTTCTACGAATAGCAACTTTTCTCCAGCGCTGCTATCGCGCTGCTAAATTTGGTAGCGCGCTTCTCACCGAGAAGCCGACTGCTATTTTAGTTACTCGTATGGCAACCCCCGATACGGTAGCTGCGCTATGATGAGGGCTGCTAAAATGAGTTTAGCAGCGTACCGTTACGGTTGCTCTTAGAAGGATAAAAGGAGACAAACTAGTCAAAAGTAGGTAAAAGTGAACTGGCCGTTGGGTACTTTTTTCTTACCGTGTGGTGCTCTATTGGCACACTGATAAAAAAGATGACCGAAGATTGGTGTGTGGAGTGACCTACCCCTTGAGGATTATTTTGGGCCGGAGAAAAAAATAAACGCAGAGAAAAATGTTCAAAGCATCGGACTTCAACAAATTTTGACAATTTTAAAATAAGCCAATTTGAAGATCTCGAATATAGAAACTTCCGTAACACAGGGTGGCCAGTGAATTTTCATTTGGAAATTCCTGGTTTTTTCCCGGTTTCCCCGGTTCAAACCTTAAAAATTTCCCGGTTGTTAATTTCAACAAAAAACGAAATTGAACGTATTTTAAAAAACTTGCTGAAAGGAATTTACTGAAAGGATAAAAAAGTGATTTACAAAGAAACTTTGAAAAGAAAAGAAAATTTGTGATATTAAGCAAACTTTTGTGAAAACATAATTAAACTATGAGATTTTGAAAAAAAATCAAGATAACAGATTTGAAAAAAAAATAAATAATACTAATGACTCGTGGAGTCATAATTGTCACGCTCTGAGACTTGGAAGCATTTTAAGGGTTATAACAAATTACAGAACAATCTATAGAATCTTGCGGACAAACCCTGGAATTTGTAGTAAAATTTAAAAGAATTCAAAATGTTGATTTAAAACAAATATTGAGAAGGACACAGTTTTTGAAGGAGAAGTTCTGAGCAGAATTTCAGAATTATTTTGACATGAAGTCCTTAGAAATTATAAGATGAATTTGGAGGGATTTCTGTGGAGAAGAATGCCAGTTCTAAATTAAATTGAAGGTAATTTTAGAAGATTTCAAAAGGAATTGTGGAAAACAAAACTTTAAGGAAAATTCCTACGTGATTCTGAGGAGATTTGTGTGGGGATCGGGAGGAAAATGACAGATGAATTTTAAGAAGAATTCCAAGAGAATTATGATCAGATTGAAAAAAAACAGAGTTCTAAGAGTTTTCTGGCAATAATTTGCTGAAAATTAGAAACAAATTCTTTAAAATACTCCAAACGGTTTCTAAATAAAATTTCGAAAAATTTCTGCTGTTTTGAATAGAGTTCAAAGAAATTTTTGAAAAGATTTCCAAAGGAATCAAAGTTTCCGAATAGGTTTAAGGGATTTCT